AGGGGGTGCGGGGTTGCTGCTTGGATGTGTACCCGGAACAGTGTATGTAGGTGGTGCAAGATTTCCTCCATCCACCATAGCATTGCGGCTGCTACTGCTACTACTACTACTGCTACTACTACTACTACGACTACTACTACTACTACTACTAGTACTACTACTTCTACTACTTCTACTACTACTACTACTACTACTACTACTGCTACTACCACCACCACCACCACCACTACCACGAGGACTACTACTACCACTCCTGCACTACAGCTGCACAGCCGTTCGTTCGAAAGCAACCCTAAGTTCAGTTGGCGAAGCGCAAATCCATTGCTGCCGTCTTCAATTTGTTGCTGTTTGCCCTAGTTTTACTAAACCCTAAACCCTAGTCCAGTTTTATATACAGTATGACGAAGGTCTTCGAGTTGAAGATGTCTGCTAACAACTGGGCGTACGAGCACAGCTTTTCTGTGTCTCGGCGATGGAAGACAGCTCTGATCGACGCTAGATGCCTTCTCATGACAGTAATCTATATGTATGTATGTATGTATGTATGTATGTATGTTTGTCTGTATGCATGAGCTCTATGTGTATTCATGTATGCAATGCATGTGTTGTGCACATCTGTCTGCATGTATGAATGTCTTCTGAATATACGCACACTATCCATGCAGCATTGTCGGACGCTACTCCTGTTGAACAAGGCTCAACAGACGCGAATGCCCTTTGCCCAGAAGGGATAGCTGCAAAGGATTCCGGTGGCTTGAGAAGCAAAGAAACTCTTAACTGAGTATGACGACCTTGATTCGCATGCACATGAACCGTAGCGCATGTTGATGTTTCGGTGCTAACTGCACTGCTGCAAGATGATCAAGATGCAAGTGTGAGGGAATCGCGAGAATCGTTGGAAGAACCCAGGGTTCCGGGGACATGGCCAGTTTTTTGCATGGGTTCCGGGGACATGGCCTGGGATGAATTGAATTCAGGGCAGAGCTCCGGCTTAAAGTCCGTGCTTCTGAATGTCAGCTGAGGTTTGGCAGCAGAGCCCTGGCTTCAGTGGAGTTTCAGGATTGCAAGACAGGTTGGTTCGAGGCGACATTCTGTCATGGGGTTTAGGTTTAGAGTTTAGGGGTTCGAGCAGCGCTTGGCTTTATGAAATGGCTCGGACACTTAAGGTACTTGGCCTGGGTGTCAGTCGCTGTCGCCTTGGCCAGTATCCTGCCTGGGCAAGGAGTGAGTTTGAGAAGAGTGTGTTCATGATCGGCTTGGTGCACCCTGTACTTGTGTCGAATCCTGCCCAGAGTTCACACATGACATGGACCATCAGTCACAGAAGCACTGGCAGTGAGCTTTTGTTCTCAGGTATAGCTGGCATTCTTGTTTGCTACATCGATCCCTTTGCTGCGGGCTCTGGGATTCCAGAGATAAAGTGCTACCTCAACGGCATCGAGCACTTTCCGAGTGCTCTCCGGCAAGACTTCGGAATATGGTCTGCCGGTTCGAACTAAGATTTTTCAGTTCGTGAGTATGGGCCGAAAGACAAAACACGCTTGTCAGAACAGAGCCTTGTTTTTTTTTGTTTGTGTGTGTGTGCGTATGTGTGTGTGTGTGTTTGTGTTTGTGGCTGTGGGTTGTGATGCCGGAATCCGACAATTGTACGAGTCCTTACAAGGCTTCACGGAACGGTGGCCCTGATCCTAATTAGGCCCAGAACTCCATACTATGACGAATTCAGAGGATAAGGAGGATCAGGAAGGTTAGGAGGATGCGGATGGGGACGATGATTGGTTAATTATGGCGAAGACGAAGTAACATGTTGATGATGCGCGTTGGCTGATCAGCGTCCTTCACCTGCTGCCTATGGTCTGGCATCATCAACAATAGCAGCCTCACGCTAGTACTACTCACTACTGGAACTTCCGGTACAACATGACGACGACATACGACGACTACCACTACTATTGCTACTGCTGCTACTGCTGCCAATGCAATAAGAACACCAACTACAACCTCCTCCTCCTCCTCTTCATTCTCCTCTTCCTCCTCCTCCTACTACTACGACTGCTACTGCTACTGCTGCTACTACTACTACTACGACGACGACGACTGCTACTACTACTATTACTACTACTACTACTACGACGACGACGACGACTACTACTACTACTACTACGACTACTACTACTACTACTACTACTACTACTACGACGACGACGACTGGACGGCGATCGACGACGACTGCTACTCCTACTACCTTCTATGACTTGTCGTCTATTTAAGAGCCTCCGGCTCAAGCCGCCGACCCCGCAGGAGTACTCCTACTACCTTCTATGACTTGTCGTCTACTGCTACCACGATTGTCTCTACTACAAACACGACTTAGGCTCATATTACTGGCACGCTGTTCCAGTTGTTGGTATCTCGAATGCTGTTCTAATGTTTGTGAATTGATCAGGTGGTTGGTTTGAAGACACTGTTGGCCAAAGCCGTCGGCATCGTCTTCAGCGTCTCTGCGGGTCTTCCCTGTGGTAAGGCGAGCAGGGTCGTATGCTTTTCGTTCGCTGGATGAGGCATGTAGTAACTGTAGAGGGTTGGTCTCGGGTGCTCTTGTGTGAGCACTTGCTGCTACAACTGTTGTGATTGATGTGGCAGCTTAAATGGAAGACAGATCCTGCTTCGTTAAGTTTCCTGCCAGGAAGGGCCCATGATCCACAGTGGTGCCATCATTGGTGCAGTCGCTGTCTTAGACCTCCTTTGACATGTCGTCGTCACGGTCGTGGTCGTTCAGACGTCATCTTCGGTTTCGCGGGCTTGCAGCAACAGTAGCATTGGTGGGGCCCCAGCAAGCGTTAAATTGCATCGTTGTTGCCAGAGTCTAGGGCGCAGATTGAGGTCGTAGCCGGTTTCCGAATAGACCGCAACATCAAGCCGTACGTCTACACCCAGGACACGGCCTGTCACGGCTTGCTCAATACTGCAAGAAGGTTTTCTGTCATATCTGCTTCCAGCAGATTGAATATTGCAATTGACTCAGCATGCAAATCATGAGGATGCTCATGTCGGAAGTGTCGAAAGCACATACTCCGTTCTTTGGGGGCGCCCAAGCGCCAGAAAGGTGTCGAAACCTCAACGGAAGGGGGAACGGAACTCGACCATGTGGCTGTGCACGGGTAAGTGCCGGATGCTGGCAAAGCTCGACGGAAACCCATCGGCGTGAGGGAAGACAAAGAGGAGGCAGGCTGGCATCGTTGCTGGCCATACCATACTGCATCTGCATGACAGAACTTGTTACTGTACCACGAGAGCATGTGGTCAACATCACCAACATACCGTTCACACACTTTCGTGTTGTTTGGCGCTGTTTTGCCGTCGGTCTCCCTCCCTCCCTCTGAGTCGCCCGTTGCACGGCTTCGTTTCTACCGTCCAGGAGGTTCGCGACCTAGTGGCTGCTGGCGCCTCTGCCGGGGTCTCCGCGGCTTTCGGCGCTCCACTAGGCACCACACGCCGCAGAACAGCAGGTTCAGGGTATGGGGACCTGGTAAAGTATGGAGCTGATTGGGTCTTTCAGGTAAGATCTTCTTTGAGATTACAACGAGATACAGTAGAAGCCAGACAGTTGGAACACCGCTATCCTGATGCCCTTAAGGTGAAGCAGCGGGAATTTTAGGACAGATGATCCTGAATCCATGTTCCAAGTTTCTGACGTTCACCGTATGCAGACGTTGACAGCTAACTCCACTTGCTGAAGCGGCGTCCTGAGGCTCGGTTCTCTTCGCTATCGAAGAAGGCTCCAGCCATATGATCCTTGACCGGATCGTAGAGCTGCACTGTTGTCAGAGCCACTTGTTGCCTTGCTGCTTGATGACGTTTGTACTCCAGGAATCCTCAGATCATGCTGCTCAGCTGCATTGGGCTGGATGTCGTGGCTCAGGCACTAAGCAATAGAAATCTGCGCTACTCCAAGCAGAGCAGTGGCCGCTCGTTTGATCACCCACCACTTACAGGCATGGTGCACACTTCTGACAAGTGTCGGGATACTGCCTTCGAACTGTCGTGTACGTGATGTACACTGGCATTTTGCACTCCTATGTACATGATGCGCAGAGTAAGTTGTTATTTGCAAACTTGCATGTGCTCTCATATGTGCGTCCATACGATGTATGCAGCAGTATGCATATCATATGTAAATACATTACAGTCATGCGACCCGCACATGTATGATCAATCTCTGTGTGTGCGTGCGCATGTAGATATGCAGGCATGTACAATGTACACACAAGCAGCAATTCTGCCTTTCATGTGCGCCCATGTTGTCCAGGACACGGCTTTTCGTGGCCTGCGCCGTGGCGGCCCTCGTGTCAAGGATTTCTTAGACCGAGAATCCGCCAGAATCTTTTCAATCAAAGTCCCACAGCGGTCGTGTCCCTTGCATTTTCATCCGGCCCCTTATGCTCTAAGACGCTAAACCGTGAACGCAGTGAATCGAAGTTGTGGCATGGAGACCCTAGACGAAAAAAACAAGCCTTCAAGTTGGGCTGAGGTCGTTAGGATCAGAGCTCCATGTCGTACAGGGTGCCCGGATGTAGGGTTTCGGGTTTGCGGAATTTCTGCTTCAGGATTCAGGGCACTTCACGGCTTCTGCAAGCATAGATCGGATTGTTGAGTTCTACGCATCCCGAGGGTGCACTTCAAAGCCTGAAGCCAGATTGAATCCAACAGGCTGAAGAGGAAATAGATTATTATTATTATTAGCTTTATTATTATTGTTACTATTACTATTACTATTATTATTATTACTATTATTATTATTATTATTGGTAGTAGTAGTACCTCGGTTGTGGCCTTGGACAGGAGCTTCTCTGGGTGGTATCATGGGCTTCCACTTGGCTTACTAGGCCTCTCCCGAGCTACTTCTTCAGTCTTCAGGTTTGGTAGCCAGTGATACCATCCTTCGGGGGTCCTGCATGGTTAGTTGCTTGCTGTACATGTCCATATCGTTTTTTATTCGTGGCCGTTGCACGCTTAAAATGCAGCATTGCTGTCGTTCTTGTTAGCCATCTTTCCTTATGCTTCTGACGTCATTGATACCCAGTGGGGCCACCTTGCACAATGGTTCGGGTCTTCAGGTCTAAGCGGTCTGGGTGAGCTTCATGAGCTGGCACAGTTGGACTTGGTTGTGGACAGGTTCTGGGGCAGAAGGGCAGGAGATGGAGATGCGCAAAATCTTTCATGACCATGTCGGGCCATTCAGCAGCCACGCGCTGACCGGACCCAGTGGATCCTAGTGGACCAAATCTAGGAACAGGTCAAACATTTCGAGTAGGATCAGCAGTAACAGGGAGATAGAGTGTCATGCTACAGACCATGGCATAGAAGCATCATTCTGAGACTTATGGCTATTGCAAGATGCGGCAAGCAGTAGCAGCTTCACTTCCCAGCATCGCCGTGATTTCTGTTAACGAAGAACAAGTATTCCCACCAACGTGAGAGGCTGGCGTGTTCCAGTCAGCTTCGGCCGCTTCTCGAACATGGACTACCACATACAGGAGCCAGGGGGCTAAAAGCTTTTGTCCATGAAGTCACCCGGCCAGGCAAATCAAAGCTAGCGCAATCCTGAATGTAGATCTTTTAAACCCATGAAGGCCAGAAGCCATTACGCAAACCCCATTCAAAACACACACTCATTGGTCGGAGGTTCAGGCATCTTGAATCAGGGCCATGCTCCCCCACAATCCCTGGGCTTCACTCCAGGGGCTAAGCAGCTCACAGCCAGGAGTTCGCACTGTTTGGGCTGATGGCCGTCTGTGGAGGACTGCTCGGTGGCCTCTTCAACTGCTTGAACAAGTGGCTTCGGCTTATGATGGCACGGTTCTCAAGGGCACTAGCGCTGCTATCTTTGGCTCGCTGCAGTACCTTTCTATCTCATGTTGATCGTCCTTTTGAGATGCTATGCATCGGGGTACCATGAGAGGTCTTTGCCGCTTCTGCACATAGACTGTTCTCAGTTCTTCTTGGGGATCTTTGGCACCTTCGGACCTGCCTTCTCCCGAAGCCGCCCGAAGCCCTGAATGCTTTGAGGCGGTTGACTTTGTGGCGCCAAAGACACATTGGAGGGCGCGGTCACAAGCGATTCCTGGAAGCTGCTTGGAGTCTTCCGGTTGTTCGATGTTGTTCGAAGATGGGCGATGTTCGGAATCCAGGCTGGTTGTGTTGAACATAGCTTCGCCAGTTCATGGGGCTCTGTTCATGTCCGTATGCGCCTTGTAAGTCGTAGGTGACAGTTGCAGAAGCAGCAGTACGATCCGTGGCAGTGCTATGCAGTTAGGGTGGCGGTGGTAGTGCCGGCCGTGAGTGGACGAAATCTTGCGCCGCTTTTGAGAGTATTGCATCTAGTGAAAGCCCCGTGCCCCATTTTTCAACGTTGCTTCCCGGAAGCTCGGAAAACACGTGCCAAGATTACGAGGGAAGCGCGCGGTTCTGTACTGCTGTGTCAGAATCTCGCTGATAGTTGCTATAGTTGAAGATGGTACCTTCCGTTTAACACATGACATGCAGCCAGGCCCAGGCTTGCTGTGTCTGACTCCACTCGCTCCTCCCAGGTTTTGCTTGTCACCTTCGTCGTTTCGTCTTTCGATTTCCTGGTGCTCCAGCTCGCAATGAGCCCGGTGTTGCTGAAAGGATGCGTAGCTGTGTCGCCGTAGTGGTCCAGGTAGTTAGCACAGTAGGCCTCATCAATTCGAGCCTGCCGGATGGAGCGTCAGGTAGTGGCACTGTGTTCTGACAGTCCGCTCACGCGCTTTGGCTGCAACTGCTAGCGGTCATCTTGAGAAAGCCCACAGTCAGACCGAGTCGACCGAGAACTTGTCTGCCGCTGGTGGAGTAGACGGACGTGCACCCTACAATCGCAGCCTGCAGAAGACTCTCGGTTCGCTTCCTTCTGAGGTTGGAGGACCTTCCTCCCACGATGGAACTCTACTGGAACCTTGGTGCCAAGGCCATGAAGAACCTCTTCCACGGGCAGGCCGGGGGAGTCGGCGATCTGAAGCTGCCGAGAAGCCATGGACTCAATCACATCCCTGGCGTGCACAGAGGCTTTAGAAGCGTTTTCTCATGAGATCTGAACTTTCTCGTGGCAAGCGATACTATGGACCCCTAAAGAGTGTCCGTGAGCACGGTTGATACCTTCTGTCGCGGAAAGGCATCTTTCCTGGCAGGAAAACTATCACTGGGGCTTCTTGCTGCTCTTCGCTGTCAAAAACTTCTGCTTCGCTTGCGACTGGGCTGGCGAGTGTACGCTCAGAATACTCCCTGTTCCTCCACAGTCTCAAGCCCGAAGCATTTGACAGCTCCGGGTTTGGAGCACTTTATCTTGGAGTCTTTACAGCAAGGATCAAGGATCCCCTACTTGTCCGGCTCTCCATCAAGGTGTCTCGTCTACTGTAAAATTTCCAAACTCCCAGGTTGGAACTATGGAACAGGGGTTCCCAGTGGCCTTTTCATTCCTTCTCTGCTGACTGGCGCCGCCTTCGGGCGACTGGTGGGACAGCATCCTGGTGAAACCCAAAACCCCATTCTACTTATATCGGCCCCTCCATTGCCTCCAGTAGGGTGCTTAGGAAGTGTCGGGTGGAGTGCTAAAGCAAGCGGAACTGGACTCGCCTTTTGCAACAGCTGCGTCCCGCTCTGTCGCGCTGCATTCCAGAGAGCCAACATCATCGAAAGCTACCGTAGCAAAGTCTGTCTGAGGTTAGTAGCAGTGCTCAGAGACCTTGACACAAACGGCAACTCCCCGTTCTCGCCGCAAAGCTGCAATTGTAGATATGTCTAAAGTCGCTCTGCTTGAGGCGTAGGTATCGGCTTTGAATTTCACGGGTGGTCTGAACATCGTATGATCTTGACAGCGTCTGATGCCCAAACCGATGCGAACCTTCGTAGCACAATGTTTCTGATAAGTCTTAAGCCGTGAGTCGCTATGTGAAAAGAGCCTGATTGGGCTCAGCCAGCATGCCCGTCTACGTGGCGGGACACAAGCCAGTAGGAATGAGCGTGTACAGAACTGTCCGAAGTGTTTCACAGGACAGTCTCATGCAGGAGTGTCCTGCGTGTCAGGCCTTGGCACTTCCCTTGCCATTGCTTGCTTACCACCAGTTGCAAACGTCTTGTTACTATTAAGTCTTAATATGGCCTCAGCTCAGGTTCGTGGCCCAGCCTGGTACCTACGCTCTCATAGGAGCTTGCTCCATGCTGGCGGGCACAGCGCGCATCACGATCTCCTTGGCGCCTTGGACTTGGCTGTTGGTGGGTTGCAGATTCCTTGTTAAGATTTCATGGTTTACTGGTAGAAAGAAGCTTTGATGTAATGCTGTAATGAGATGTTCGGCGCCGAGCATGTTGTCGCACAAGAGAGTGTCGAGGATGTTTCGGTTTGATGGTTTAACTCCAAAGACTTCCCTGCCGCGTGTTTTATCTCGTCGGGCCTGACAACACCATGGAAGCTCGCAAGGCAATGATCCTCATGGAAACCAGCGGAGAAGCTGAGTTTGGACTTCCAATCTTCCTTTCGGTTATGGCAGCTTGGCTTGGCAAGAACAGCGCAAAGCGCCCCTAAACTAATACAAAGGCGAAGCAGCAGGAGCAGTCAGTCCCAGCTGTAGTGCTTGCAGCAGTGTCGTGGAACTGCTGTCGCAGCACCGCCACCAGCAACAGCTCCTACAAGACACCAGAAAATCACTAACAACGACGACGACGACAACGCCGATGTTGGCTGCCACAACAGCGAGGACGAGGACAACTACTTCAACAAAATCATTAACAACAAACGCCACAACAAAAGCAGCAACAGCACCACCACCGCCAGCAGCAGCAACAGCAGCAACAACAGCAGCAGCAGCAGCAACACTTCTACGACTGCGACGACAACGACCATCGCCACTACCACTACCAACACTGCCACGGCCACTACCACTACCACTACCACTACCACCACCACCACCACCACCACGACTACTACTACTACTACTACTACTTCTACTTCTACTACTACTTCTACTACTACTACTACTACTACTACTACTATTACTACTATTACTATTACTACTATTACTACTATTACTACTATTACTACTATTACTACTACTACTACTACTACTACCACTA